ATTGGGATGCATTCTGTACCAGATGGTATACGGCCGGACACTGTTCGCGCATTTCAGTCCGTACCCGAAGATGTCACTGCTCCCTCTTCCCGACAGGCAAGTCTCGTTTCCTCCTCTCAACAACGAGTACTTGTTGGAGGATAGATGGGCTGCTAAAGCATCCTTTCCTATGCGGCCCGACAGCGGCGGTGCAGCGTCCACTTGAGGGGGAAGAGCTCCCGGGCCTGCAGGTGGTGGAGAAGCTTATCGACGCATCGAAGGATGACGCGTGTCGTGTCCTCCAGGTGCTGAACGACTGGTACGGACTTCGTCGTGGGACGAACGAAATGCAACTCGCAAAAAGTATCGACAGTGTCCGGTACGGTAACTCCCATGGAGGAGGAGAGGTGGTGAGCGGACCAGGACCATCATCAGGTTCAGCAGGGCCAGCAGGAGCAAGACCGGTTGTTGTTCCTTCGGCGGAACATCCACAGCAGGATGCTGTGAACTCGAAGAGGGAACGACATGCCTCGTCGGGATACGAGAATCAGGATCACCATTATAATCATCAGTATCGCCGTCAGCAACAGCACCAGCCGCAACAGCAGCGACAGCAACAGTATGATGACGATGGGGGGGATATATGACAGATCGATGCTGCGAGTATGGATTCGCAGCACAGGCCCACAGGCCCTGTCGAAGTGAAGATGGCAAACGAATGACAATTGTGGACTTGGGCCTAGAGAACGTCGAGGGGGAGTGCGGGCTAGGCAGTGTGAAGGTGAAGATGGCTGGGAGTAGTGGGGGAGGAGGAGGATGAGGATGGAAAGTGAGGTGTGAGAGGCCGCGGCCGGCCATTCCTGGTGGCAGGCCGAGGGCACCAGTAGTCGGTGGACGGGTCGTTCAAAATGGTTCTCAACGATCGATCTCTGCGCCTCGTAGATGCTCGGGAAGACCTGCATTCGAATGAACATTCAATGATCAATCAACTGATGTGATCAGAAGGGCCCGTCTTGTCTATTCGTGTGTTAGTTATCAGTTGGTTTCTTGAACCATCTCTCTCTCTCTCTCTCTCTCTCTCTCTCTCTCTCTCTCTCTCTCTCTCTCTCTGTGTGT